ATAGTGAGTTCCAGGCTAGCTGGGGCTGCAGGGAGACTCTGTCTCAAAAAAAAAAAAAAATCAAAAAAAAATTTTTTAAGATACAAGTGATAGGAAGCATAAAGGTCATTTAATTGGTTACATTGTTTTCCTTTTCTTTGTTTGGGGTTCCTAAAATAATGATGCGCCATTCAAGCAATGAATGAATGAATTCAAGTCAATCAAAAAATAGTAAATACTTCAGAGACCATAACCATGAGGAAGCAGTTCAAGCTGTCAAGGCGCTCATAAATCTGGAAATAGATGGCATGTTCAGGGTTACATAAAAACACACAAGGATCAGAAGTAAGACAAAATAAGGTTATTGTCTCCAAATAGGTACCAAGAAAAAGATGTAGCCATTTAAAGAAAGATAAGGTCACATTTCCACATTTAAAGGCTCCATGGAGGAGAAGCATTGAAGGACCTTGAAGTCTGGGTAGGACTCCAGCTGTATGTCCAGTACAGAGTAGGACAGTAAAGAGAATGGTCAGTAGTACATTTTAACTGCAGAGTTAACTATTCTTTTTGGCTTTACTCTTTTTTTAAAAAATTGAAGAAAATTATGAACTTTGTTCCTAGAAGTAAAAGAACAAATGAAAAATAAAAGATGTTTGCATACTGTATCTGAGGACTTCCCATTCACAGGCCGCACGAGAGGAAACTAACAAGGGAAGGTGCAGGGACAAGTGTGCAGGTGACGAAGACCGAAGTCTCACTTCTGAAGGGCTTTGTATCTGACTGCACTTGGAGCTGGAAGCCAGTGGAGATGACTCTAGACTGCTCATCCCAGGATACCCTTGAGAATCATCTCCACCTCCAACTTAGATGATTTGAACTTCTAACATGGTCAGATAATGTCTTTAAAAGTAGCTGGGAAATTAAATGTATGGCAGTGAGGATGCCAGGTACACACCCCCAAACACACTCACATACTCGTGCACACACACACACACACACACACACACACACACACACACACATCAGAGTTTACATATAATTCAGGGAACACCAGAGAGATGCAGATTGTTAAGAAATAGTCACAACTCTGGTTTAGGAAGATTAATTTTTTTTGGACTAGAGGTATGTGAGAGAGGCAGGGAAAAACCGGTTAGGAGTTTACTGCAGTTGCTTTTTATATTCTTTAAATCCATTCTATTTATTCAGATTCCTGTCTCTCCTCACCACCCACCATATGGCAGGAAGCCAGGCCTTCAGCAGACATTTGCCAGTACTTGAAGTGAATGTCATAAATTCACTTTGAGGCTTCTCGTGTAATGTCTCTGTTCCCCGACAGGTGGCACCATCATGCTTCCAAGCAAAAAAGCTGCTTTTTGAGGGAATTCACCTTCTGAGGACAGTCTCAAAGTGGGAGAGAAAATAGTGATAGAATAAAAGATTGGTGGACATTCCTTGTGTGGTCTGTCATTTCTAAGTATAGCAGATATCCTGTGTGAATTTCTATTTCTAAACATGTAAATAAGGAAAGGTGTTTATGAAAAGCTGCCTTTTCAAAGCAAGAAATTTTATGTCTTGCAAGAAGTATAGGCTTAAATATAATTGGGGAAGAACTGTAGCTTGATTCTAGGAAAACTTTCAAACGAGCCATTTCATTACAGATCATGTTAGAGGCCAGTTTGCATTACAGGAAAACAACTGATTCTCTAAGAGCAGATTTTAGCTGTTCCAGGCTGAACTTGTAGCTTGTTTCTAGGCAGTTGTATGTGTTTCATTTTGAGATTAAGAGCTAACCTCTAAGAGAGGCAATTTAGACCATCTAGAGAACTGTTATAATTCATTAGAGTTATGTGTGGTGTTGGGTCGGGACCAGACAAAATGTATCATGACACCCTGAAGGGTGTCAATAATTTACTTCCTCTGAATGAAAATGTTCCTTCCTGCAGGGAGGAGGGAGGCTCTGAAGACTGGGAAGCCGACTTACAGGCTCAGGAAGCGTAACAATTCACAAGGATGCTCAACAAGTTACAGAATTCACAAGACCCTCCCCAAGAGGAGAAAAACAATAAGCACTTTACTGGAATAGAGGACACTCTGCTGGTGTGTCCTGCAACAAAGGACACTGCAAGGGGGGCAGGGAGCTCCAGGAATGCAGTTCTTTTATGAGCTGTCACCCAAGCTGGGGTGGGCTTTTGAGTCACCCGATTCTGTAGGGAACCCTTCACCTATGCTCCGGTTAAATAACCCCAATAAACTCATGGGTTCGCCAGGCTAGACTTGGATGGAACTGCTTCTCTGATTTGTCTTCGGTGTCCTCTCTGGAGTGAACGGACATTTTTTCACACAGTCTCAGGAAAATTCAAGCATGTCTTTGCCTCTCCTACATCAGCAATGCTCTGCCAACTTGAAAGCAATGGGAGACTGGAGTTTTAAAAAGCTCACGATGGGTGTCAGCATAATTAAACTCATTAAATAGGTGATGAGTAGTCAGATTTAGATTACTTCAGCGTATACTCTGAGGGCTCCGGAAGGCATGGATGCATGGTCAAGATGGTCTTTTCTTCTTTGGTGTTTTTCAAGTTGAAAAGTCTCCTTACACTTTAGCTCAATGACTTTTTAAGAAAAAAAATCCTGATTCCTTTTAAGGATTAAGTTGAAACAATGACCCTGTCTCTCTAGAGAGAATACCTACTTGCCCTACTTACCCTTGCCAGTTTTACATTTCAATTTCTAAGTGTATGGCTCCCCAAAATTCAACACTGACTCCTGTCCATAAATCCTCAGTAAGAAACTCCAACTAAAACTCATCAAGAGCAGCCCAAACAAGAAACCTGAGACTAATCGGAAATCACAAGGGCGGGAACATGGAAGTAGGGGCAACCTGTGCTGGGTCTCTGTGAGACACTGGGGCAGATGAAAGAAAGCAGGATTACTTTTCGTAGGAAGATTTTTAAAATATTTTTATTTTTATTTTATGTGTATGAGTGTATTGCCTGCATGTGTGTAAGTGCACCCATGTCTCAAAATGCCCGAAGACGTCAGAAGAGTGTGTAGGATCTCCTGGAACTGGAGTTGCAGACAGCTCTTAGTCGCAAAGTGGATGCTGGGAACCGAACCTGGGACCTCCAAAAGAGCAGTCAATGATCTTAACTGCTGAACCAATTCACTAGCCCCTGGAGGAAGATTTTTATCTTTCAGGAAATAACTAGAGGAGCCCCTGAGCTAAGAGACTGGGGGCATATTTAGGACACCATGCATAGGAACAGGAACCGGGGAAATAGCTAAAGGATTCAACCAGAGCTTTCTACAGGGTCTACATGGGATGGCTGCTTTTGGGATTTAGGTCAGATTGGAGAATCTGAGCTGCAGGGAACAGGAAAAGGGCTCACATGGAGTGCCTGCAAAGCATCAGCCTCTTCCTCTCCAGGAGCAGGTCGAGATAGCTCAGTGTGATTTAAGTGCATTATCACCCACCGGATGCCAAGAAGGCTCACTAGCCAAAACCTGAACTGCAGTCTCTTCAAACGGAGGTGAAAAGTGACTAAACCAAGGTCAGCTCCTTTTCAGATATCTTTCAGGCTTTTTCTCTGAAGATTCAAATAAAGGAGCAAGTAGCAAAATGGTTCCTATCTAAGGCTCTTTTAAATCAGACAATCCCAGGTTTAAGTCCTGGCTCCATCAAATTCCAGCCCGTGACCTTGAGAAAGTCTTAATCTGTTTCTGAACTGTTATGTAAAAATAATAGCAAATTCTACTTCATTGAGCTGTTGAGAGATAAAATGGGACCAATACTCAGTAAATGATCACCATCATTGTAATTGATACTGAATGCTGAAAGTGTTACGGAAACCTAAGTCCTCAGGGATGCCTCCCCATTACAGTCTCTAGCGGCTCTCCTTGGAAGCTCAGCACACATTTCCCAATTTACGGCTTCCTCTGGCATCTTGTGAATACAAGCTGGTCCCCAAGACCCATATCTTTTGACACATTTATACTTGATGCTTAAAATGAGAAAGGCCTGTGCTATCTTGGGAAGCCTATCATGCCCTTTTCTGACTCTACCCTCAAGGACAAAGGAAGGGTTCTTTACATAGGAAAATATTATACTAAAAAAGAATTTCTAGGATCTTCCTCGTGTAGTTTTACTTTCCCAAAGGACTCCTTCACCACCACCCCACATCCCCAGAAGTATAAAGACACAAACATTTGCACAAGACACCCTAGAAGTCTCATATATTTTTTCTCTGATAACTTTTTATTCCCATTGTATACATTCTGAATCTCAGGCAGCCGACTGAGTACTGGAATTAAGATTCAAGCCCACACCTGTTTCTCTAGTCCTCTTTGAACCCTCCTATAACAAGCAACAAGCGAGTTTACATGCTACACACACACACACACACACACACACACACACACACACACACACAGCATCCCAGTCTATGCTGCTCTCAATTTTTGTTCTGGGGCAGCCTCGGGATCTCTCCATCACCCAAGGGAACTGCCTAGAGATGATGTCAGTGTTGACTCTTGGGGGAACACCTTACCAGCATCCTCCACTAGAGGCCTGAGGCAGTTATTATGGTTTCCTTTGTGATGTGTCACTCTAGTCCCAGAAACCCTGGGCATCCCCTCCAGAACAGTAACTTCCACCTCATCCCTTCCATGGAACAGGTGTCATGCCTGCCATTCCAGGATGCTCTGGGGGTTCGGTGGAGCCACATGCTTCACTGAAAAGAAATCCCTTGCACATGTGGAATGCTAGCTACTAAAAACCCTGGTTGGCTATCTCCACACAGACGTCCACATTTCCCAGTCCAGCTTGAGATCAAGGTCCAGAGCAGAAGGGAAAGCAGGCAGAGTTGGCAATGCTTGTCCCATCCTGACAAGGTCAGTCAACTCCTTAGGACCGGAGGCAAGACAGAAAAGGGAAGACACGGTCCCTGCATTTCCTACTAAGCCCTGATCCATGCAGCAGACCCAGATGCCCCACCTGTTAAGTCCCCTTAGTACCAGTCAGCAAGGAGGGGAGCTGATGCCTTTTTATTAAGGTTAACACCAAGGAAAGCATTGTGAAAGGATATACAAAAGAGGGAAAGGGCACACAGTCATCACTTCGGAAGGTAAGAGGGGAGCACATTGGTTAAGGACCTCAGGACAGGCACATGCTCCATGCCCCGGCTGGGGGAGGGGGTGCAGAAGGGGAAGAGGAAAGTGCCATGATAGCTTGGGGCTCACAGAAGGGTCTGAAGCCCCCTGAACCTAACACCAGAGCCACAAGCCCTGCCCCTGAGGGCTCACACACTACTACACAAGTGGACACACATAACACAGGACATTATGAAGGCAACACCAAGAGGCAGCGGGCAGGAACATATTGACAGAAAAGGGAACTGAAGTTAAGCAGGTGTAGCCAGAAAAGACAGTTTGGGGCTGCAGCCCCCAAGAGTCCCTCAAACATCCCCTAAATCTGGGCTGTTGCTGAGCAGTCCAGTCTCTGCCTGTGAACTGGGCATGTTGTTCTCTAGGCCCCGGGTGAGTGGAAAAGCAATCCCAGATGAAGTCAGTGACAAGGCAGGATCTGCTCTGCATGCAAAATCCTAGGGCTTGAGCTATTATGTCTTCATGCACATTCATAGCCAGCTCCTCCCAGCCCACGGGCCCTTGGAACCCCATTCACCCAGATTCCTAGGGCTGCATTTCCCTCCTCAAGCTTCCTTTACCAATCAGCAGGGGTAGAGATCTGTGAGGGGGGAGAGCTTCTGCAGAGCACTGAATATCTCGGATTTCAGAAAAAAGGGTAAATTTCCTGTTGCCAGAACAGAATACCCCAATTCCTTAATTTCTAGGTAAATCGTCGAGAGATTATTTTCCATGGTCCTAGATAAGTCCTTTTTCAGAATAGAAAAAGAGGAATTTTATTTACATAATTCAAGGGTCCTCCTGTTTCCTGGGAAGGGGAAAAGGGCAGGGTAGGGGATGGATTCAGGAGTCCAGAGATGGGCACTTCCTCTCCCGGAGCCTCACCTTTCTGCAGTTTGCTATGATGCTTCGTTGGGCTAAAAGAATTCGTGGTGCTCCCAAAGTCCTTCACCCTGCAAATCCTTTTTTGAGGGAGACATCTCCCTGACCCATTAAGAGGCAGTTTGAGCGAAGCATGCTGCACCGCCCCGTTCAGTCCACTCGCATCAAGCACTTGGAAACCCAAAGCCGCCCGGGGAAGTGAGTGCCCCAGCGGAGTCCCCTCACAGGGAGGCCTCGCCATCTAGCTGCAGCAGAGTAATGTCAGGCAGGTCGAGGGGCTCCACAAGTGGCCCGTCCTCCCCAAGGAGACCAGCGCAGGGGCTCTCCGAGCGCTCACAGTGACTGGTGGGTGTGGCAGGACTGGGCATCGCTTTCTCCTCTCCCTCGTCCTCCTCGTCCTCCGGATCGCGACCCAGCAAGCCGCCGTCCCCCACCCCGGCCGAAGGGGTCTCGGGCTCTTGGGGAACGCCCGGGAAGTTCCCCTTGCCACTGACCACGCCCAAGCCGCCCTGGCGGGGCGCCGTGGTCATAATCCGACACATGGAGACGATGGCTCGCTGGTTGGCGCACACGTCGTCCGAGAGCACCTGGATGTGCGAGGCCTGCTCGTCCAGCGCCCCTCGCATGGCCCGCACGTCCTCAAACAGGGCCTGCAGCTGGGCCTTCAGGTGCTCCATGAGTTCCTTCATGCCGCCGTTGTACTCCCCGGAGATCACGTCCCCCACGGCCGGCACTGTGGACACCTCCAGGGGCGCCGGCAGGTCGCCGCCGTCCTTGGTCACGATCTCCAGCAGACCGTCCTCCATGGAGCGGCAGGAGCGGGCGGTGGAGGCTCCGGGTCGCGTCCGGCCGGGCCTCCAGGGTGCGGGGAGGGCGCGGAGGGGGCGAGGTCCCCAGAGGTGGGGAGCGGAGCCCGGGGACTCCGAGGGTCCCCAGAGGGGCGAGTCCCAGGCCGAGGGACCGGCAGGATGCGGGGAGGCCGAGGGGAGTCGACCGGGCGAGGACCCGTCTGGGGTCGGGGCTCGCCCGCGCGCACAAGCGCCCCGCCCCGCCTGAGCTCTCGGCCGGTGCGGGCGTCTGCGCTGCCCCCGCGGCAAACCTCGCGCACGGTGGCCGCCGGCTCTCCGGGTCACTGCGACGCTCGTCGAGGGCCCGGGGTTGGGGCGGGGACCCGCTGCGCGCTGGGCTCACGACTCCCCGCGGCCCATCCGGCGGCGGCGCCCGCGAGTGCGGCGGGAGCGGCAGGGGGGGGGGTCCCCCCTCCCCGCGGCGCCGCGGATGCTCCCCGGTTTCCAAGGCGACGCAGGGCACGTAAATGACGTGTGTCTCCATGGCAACTAGGAAGTGGAGAAGAAAGGGAGGACGGCTCGGAAACTGCAGTGGAGCTCCGCTGTACCGGGCTGGCAGGCGGGGCGGGGACGCTGCGGTGGCCCGGGAGAGGCTGCAAGAGCGGGCGGCTGCAACGTTTAGGAGGACGGCGTGAGGAGCAGTTGCTGCACAGATTCCCCAAGCCCGGGAGACCCCGTCCCCCCTGGGAAGGATTTGCATCCTTTCTTGGAGGATGGCGCGATAACCACGTCCTGTTTCCTCATCCTCCAGCAGCCTGCAGGACGGGGTAGATTGCTAATAATCCCAGGCGAGCTGGCGCTCTGAATCTGGCCGCGCCAGCCCGGGCGGTGCAGAGGGAGGAGGTGGAGGGCACTGCGAAGTAATTCCTCCCCCTTCTGCTGCATAGATCAGCCTTCCTGTGACAGAAAGCTCAGAAGCCGGGACAAGATGAGAGTCTTTCCTTTATGGGACCCAGCTGCTTCTACTCAGGTTGCTGTGAGTTTAGGAGGATGGTGAGGCTAAGCACTTAAATTCTGAGAATGGAAACTCCATAAAAACAAGAGATTTTTTTTCCCTCCCCGGTTCTCTCCATCACGGAATCCCCAGCTCTTAAAATAGAGCCTGAGACGCAGTAAGCAGATGCTTAATGTATTTATAGAATGGATACTTAAACAAGAACCACTAAATTCCATTACCTAATCCAGAACTCTCCAGCCCACACGCAGTATACATGGAAAGACCCGAATTCAATCTCATTTCTGCCCTTATTGATTCAGAGACCTACGCTGAATCGTTTTCTTGATTCGTTAGGGTACTGGACTGGATATTTCTAAATCTGAATAACACTCTGCACCACCTCACAGCTGAAAGATTAAATTATTGACAGTTGTGTAGGGATTCATGGGAAGACCGTGAGGACCAACCCCCTAAGTACCCATGTTTAGATGTTCAGTGAATGTCCCCACCTTTTATGAAAACTCTTTGAAGGGTGGAGCAGGAGAGAAAAAGGGAGGAAAACTGGCTATAATGTATCTAGAGTTGACACAGATGGGACAGGCAGTCACCTTGTGGGCCTGTGGGTCTTAGCATACTAATTAATACTACCCTAGTGAGAGAAGCCAAAAATGAAGTTCACACTATATATATATATATATATATGAAGAAGAAATAAATTAACTGTATGACTTAAACTAAGTGTGCGTGTTTTTGGACACTGATAGTTCTGTAAGAGCAAATGTGTTCTCTTGGGCTTCCCTGGTTGTATGATAAAAAGTGTCTAGCCGAGGGCCTGGTGTGGTGACAATGGCCTTTAGTCCCAGCACTTGGAAGGCAGAGGCAGGCAGATTTCTGTGAGATCAAGACCACCTTATCTATGTATTGAGTTCCACGTCAGCTGGGGTCACAGGGTGACCCTGTCTCAAAAAATAAAAAAAATGTGTCAAGCCAGAGAAATTTTGTGTCACCAAAGAACCTTGAGCCATGCCTATCTCAGTGCTAGTAAAATAAAAGAAAGTTAATATTTTGAAGTGTGCAATGTCAAAATGTTTAAATAAATAACCTAAGGCATTATTGATATAAAAATGCATTAAGCAGACATTGAAATTTTAATTTCCTGGGCTGGAGACATGGCGCAGTGGTAAGAGCACTGGCTGCTCTTGCAAAGGACCTGGGTTCAGTTCTCAGCACTCACATGGCCTAGCAACCATTTGTAGGTCCAGTTGCAGAAGATCCAGCATCCTCTTCAGGCATCTGCAGGCATTGCATGACATGAGTGCACTTAGATACATGCAGGCAAAAACACTTGTACACATAAAATAATTTTTTAAAAAGAAAAAAATTGATTTCTCGACAAATATGTAAACAGATTAACACACAATGTTGTGCTTTCTGAGACTAACGATTCAGTCTGACTGCTTGCTCATTTCTTCCTTTACAAACTCGTTGGACCCCCCATACCACTCCTGCCTCTGCCACGTGCCCCGTGTATGATTACTAAACTTCACATTATCCCTAAATTCCAGGCTCAGAAGAGAGCAGAAAGTTCTCCTTGGAGTCCCTAAGCACAGCCACTGTGGTCAGGTATTTATGAACATCTCTGTTGAAAAAAACAAAAACAGAAACTGATGGGCATGATAGCACACACCTTTAATCCCAGCACTCAAGAGGCAGAGGCAGGTGGATCTCCATGAGATTGAGGCCAGCTGCTCTACAGCATGTCTCAAGACAGCTGGGACTACGAGAAGACCCTTTCTCAAAAAAATAAATAAATAAAAGCCTATAGCAAGAAGCCAAGTCTGACAACCTGAATATGATCCCTGAAACCCACATGGTAAAAGAATCAACTCCTACATGTAATTTGAACTCCATACTCTTATTATAATGTGTATGTGCACACCCCATGCACACAATGAATAAATTAACATTTTTAACTATAGGAATACTAGAAACAGAGGCTGAGCTCACACAGAATAAAGTTCTGATCATACTATGGTGAATTTGTTCTCAGAGCTTACAGGGTCGGCACTGCTGTTCACCCCTCCCAAGGGAGCCCTGCTATAACCTGGCATGGTTTTCAGGATTTCTGCCTAGGTCCACTACTTCCACGTCTTGACTGGCATGTCACATGAAGGTTTTATCTTGACAGTTCTCTGACCCTTCAGTTGAGTTCCTGTCCTTTACCTACAAGAGTGACCCTGTCCGCTGGTAAAGTTTACCATCTTGGCTATCCCATAAGCTTACATCAAACATGACCCCACACAGTGGGAGCTAGGTTATGCCATCACACAAGGCCTTTAGCCACTATTGTTGAGGGTACTGTGTATGTCAAGGCTTTCAGCATCAGAATGCATCATGCTGCCCAGTGGTGCTGGCCATGCAGTCCACAGAGAGCACAGGAGGTCTGAGCCAAGAGGGAGGGGAATTACTGGAGAAGCACCAAAGATCATGGGAAACAGGTGCAGAGATCCAGGAGTGTGGCTGATCCAGTCCGGTTCCAGGTCAGACATTTGAGAGGGTAGGTGGGAACTTGGGGAGCAAACCAGTAGAAGGATTTGAACATATGGAGAGGAGACATCAGTATGCTGGTTTTAAAATCAGACCATTTCATTAATTCTTTGAGAAAATTAGATAAGGCAAAATAGATGGTTCTAGCCTCAGGGAAAGGAGGAGGCATGTGTGGAGAACAAAGTGCAGCTTTCATTAGCTGGCTGAGTTTCAGGGCTGGACCACTGGGATGCCAGAACTTGTGAGGGTCTATTACAAAGCAAAAGGAAGCTGAATGGATACCCCTGCCATCCTACTAAGGTGTTCAGAGGAACTGCTCATAGAGGAGGAAGAAAATCCTAAGCAGTCTCCCGCTTTCCAGCTTATCTCGGATCATCACCTTGGCTGTTAACATTCCTTTATCTCATTAGCTCATAGGGAGAAGAGACCTCATGCTATAGAAAAACAACTCTCCACTAGGTATGCCCAGTCCTAAATACCACATTCTCACTAGACCCTCCTGTTTCCCTCTCTCTGATGTTTAGTTGTCTACAATCTCTATCTTATATAGGTGGTCTACTTTTGCACAATAAATCAAAGATGCTCACTTGACTCAGGGCTAGAAGAGTATGCTGAAGTAAGGTACAGCCAACTGCTACACCTTAGTCTAAAATTCCAGAATATACCTCCAAATGTAACTTACAGAGCTGTCTGTGGGCAACCTCAGTAGGAACATACCCAGTAGCAAAAATAATTTTAAATCAACATAAATTTTTATTATAGTCTTCAGGAAAACCTAAGGGAGTTACATTCCTAATACAAAGCGAAACACCTTAAATTTCTTTCCTCTACTCATCTTGCATACTATAGGATAGCTGTTACCACTAGTCATCTTTTCTTCTTCCTCAAATACACCCAAGCTTTCCCACAAGCCAGGTCTTTGTTATCTGCACCCTTCATTTCTTAGATATATTCCTTTGCTCTCCCACAGGAGTCCATGATTTCAGCTCCTTTGACTCAGTCTCTCATTCCCCTGTTCTAATTACTAGAAGCCGCAGCTGACGATGGTGGGTCCTCCCAGAGGGAGAAAGTGAGTTTATGACATGTAGCCAAAATTATTTCAGCATGAGCAGATGATATGCCTGGTTTTGCAGCTGACCTGCTTTGCTTACCTCCCATGTGTGTAGACTGATGGGGTAGAGGGAGCTCTCCTTGGCCTTCAGAATCTTTAGTGCTATAAACATGAGTTGATGATCCACCACATTTCACCTGAAGACCACTCTGGACTTTCAGGTGCTTGCTCTGAGACTTCTAAGTACTTTTAGGTATCTTTAGTACTGCCGTTACCCTCTTCTTTAGGTTCCATATTAACTCTACTCGGAGTAGGAATTTGGGGAGTTTTAGACTTCTTATACAATCAGAATCTCCACTGACAATAGCCCGTCATTCTATTTAAACATGGAGTTGCCTATGTTCTCAGGTTCTTCTACCAAAATTTGAAGGCTTGTTCCCCTTTGGTCATGTTATATCCTCTGTCTCTATGCCATGGCTTGTTCCAGACCATGTTGCTGAGTAGCTGCCTATGGACGCAGAAACACTCAGCGCTCTAGAGGTAGCAATGCACCCTGCCACAGGACCCTG